GTTCCCCCTCACCCCATGTTCCCACTGTGGCACTTCAGCCTTTGAAATGTAGCAAGAGCCCAGCAGTGTTGAAACGCTGCAGTGGAAATAGCAGCCATGAGCGGGGACTGCTTCAAATCCCACTAGCGCTGTTTCCCCGCTGTGCCTCTGCTTCCCCTGCCCCCCAGAGACAGCGCTAGGGGCAACTGGATTTTAAGCCGGCTTCCCCCAGCACCAGCTCCTGCTCCACCTCTACTTGCTGCCTCTGGTGGAGGTGAGGGGGGGAGAAGGTAGTGACTAATTGAGTCACTACTTGACTATCCAATGAGCTCCAGTGAGTCTCAGTCACTAGTGGAGAGGAATCCTGTGGCACCTTATAGACTAACTGAAGTGTAGGAGCATAAGCTTTCGTGGGCAAAGACCCACTTCGTCTGCATCTGACAAAGTGGGTCTTTGCCCATGAAAGCTTATGCTCCTACACTTCAGTTAGTCTATAAGGTGCCACAGGACTCCTCGCCGCTTTTGCAGATCAGACTAAGACAGCTACTCCTCTGATACTCAGTCACTAGTGTAAAACAGAAAGCCCATATCAATACAGCAAAGGCAGTTCTCAGAGCCCTCAAACGTAGAAAGTCTCAGCACCATGCAAACAGGTGGCTCAGGCTGCTCTTTGTCCCTATTTTATATTACCTTCCTAGCAGCCCCCCTTCCATCCTTGATGCTGGGTCCTTTATTAATGTTATGCTGGTCACCCAAAGTTACTAATCACTTGAAAATCTTGACCCCTGTAAATACACTATTTAACTCAGTTTTCTGAACAGTTCTTTGGTAGAATCATCAAGCTTAACTTCACACAGTTAAAACAGTTTCAATTAGTTAGAATGCTAAAAGGATTGCAGCAGAGTGGTCACTCAAATCACTTTAAACAGGAAGCCCTGGTAAAAGGAATTCCGTTTTTGATAGAAAGCATTTCTGCTGCTGCTGCTACACTGGAAGGTACAGACACACAGAAAATCCCTCTTAGTACTCAACAGACAGTATGGGGTTAGGAGGCATGTACTGAAAAAAGGGTTCTACCCCGTCATTCACCTACTCTGTCAAGGGGTGATACCAGAAAGGAACAAAACGGAAGAGTCAAAAGCTGGCAGCAATATGATACTTCATTCTTTCACATCTCAGAATTACAAGAGAAACTCAACCAAAAATAACCAGCTTGACCATAAGCTGCATTAACATAACTTATAGGCAGCTCAGTTAAGCAGCGTTGCTATTCCATTTTGATCTGAGCAAGTGGGTCTGGCCCACGAAAGCTCATCATCTAATAAACCAGCTTGTTAGTCTTTAAAGTGCTACATAGTCCTGCATTTTGCTTGCTATTCCAGGGCACTCCAGGGGTTTAAGTCTGTTCCACGCCAGGCGTCCCCATGCATTAACATAACTTATAGGCAGCTCAGTTAAGCAGCGTTGCTATTCCATTTTGATCTGAGCAAGTGGGTCTGGCCCACGAAAGCTCATCATCTAATAAACCAGCTTGTTAGTCTTTAAAGTGCTACATAGTCCTGCATTTTGCTTGCTATTCCAGGGCACTCCAGGGGTTTAAGTCTGTTCCACGCCAGGCGTCCCCATTGAAGCCGGTGCCGCCTTTCAGGTGCGGGCGGCACAGACGCTCTTGGCAGTCCCCCTAGGCGCGCACAGCGGCACCTGCCTGTCCCCCACCAGCC